TGGCAAAATATCCAGAAAAAAGGAGTAACAAACATCTACAAAGAAAAAGAAGATGTAAGAATGTGCTACCTAATAATTGGATGTTCATCAAGAACCTCTGTCAGGTAGCCTAATTTTGTAAATAAAAAAATAAATAATAATATCCTGCAAAATGCTAATAGCATTAAGTTTTGTGCCTTGAAGGGACGTTCAATTCGCACTGGATATTATCCAAGAAGATTTTCCACAGGAACTGGCTTTCATTGTTGCTTAGTGGGAGGAAACTTACGGTCGAAGAATACATTATGTCCTGCCTAAATTTGGAATTGATCTTTGGAAGGCATATGATCGAAATCTTCCGAAAACGAATAATTCGGTTGAGGCCTGGCATAAAGCATTTCAAAATACTGCCATCATCCAAAAGTCCACAGATTGTTAGATAAAATTCAGGATGAACAAAAAAAACACAAGAAGAATTCATAACGAGATTTATAGGGTTGGTATTAGAGAATCTGAAAAGAAAAACAAGTACCTACATCAGGCAAAAGGATAGATTGCGTATAACATAGTTCAAGAATATTCCTTTATATAAATGTCACACGGTATCTCAGATCGGTGGCAATGAATTTATTCCTCTAGTTATTCTCGCGTTACATATTGTTAATTTTTGGTTCAGTAAAATTTTCCTTTTACTAACCGACTTCTACAGGGCTTTCATTTCAAAACTTGCTACCCACGTTATCTGCGTAGAGACATATTTGTGTAAATCGCCGAAACACGTCAACAAATTTATTGAGGGGGAAGGTTTTTTACGTAAAACTGGACCCCTTCAACCCCCTAAGCCCTAGGGCGACCTCCCCAAAATTTTCAAATGAGACAGGGGGTCGAGTGATAGATATTTTAAAGGGCTGTTCAATCTGTACATTTTGCCGTCTTATTTTTCAAACTTGACCTCAGTGTTGCAGAAAAACACCTATTTTAATGTTTAAAAATGCCTATTTATTCTTAAACACACCTGCTTAATTACCTGTTGCTGTAATAAAAAGGTAGGTAAAGAAGCATGTGTGTTTAAAAATAAATAGGCATTTTTAAACATTGAAATGGGTGTTATTCTGTAACACTGAGGTCAAATTCAAAAAATAAAACGGCAAAATGTACAAATTAAACAGCCCTTCAAAATAATCTATCACTCGACCCCCTATTTTATTTGAAAATGTTGGGGAGGTAGCCCTAGAGCTTAGGGGCTTGAAGGGGCGAAGTCCAGTTTTACGGAAAAAACCTTCCCCCTCAATAAATTTGTTGACGTGCTTCGGCGATTTCCACAAATATGCCTCTTTACGCAGATAACGTGGGTGGCAAGTTTTGAAATGAAAGCCCTGTATATATACTTTATTAGTAAATTAGTCAGAAAATTGGCTGCTAAGTTTATAAACTAGCTAAAGGTTTGGCTATTTTACTAGAAATTATGGTTTTCATATTAGCCAGGCTGCATTGGATTTGTTTATAAACTAACCAGCTAATTTAGTTTTCTCAATAATTTCGAGTAAATTAGCCAAGACTCTTGGTTAGTTTGCAAACTAGCTGCTATTTTAGTGAAAATTGCATTTTCTATCAAAATAACCAATGGGTTGGTTAGTTTGTCAACTATCCAGCTAGTTTAAAAACTATCCAAGTTTGCATATTAACCGTAACATATAGGTACATCACAAATAAAATCGCACTTGTAAATGATGCGGTTTTTTTTTAAGATGACTCTCTTTAAAGTTGTTCATCTGAAGTCGATCCTCCGATATATTGAGGTCCCAGTTCTGTTCAGATCCGCCGTTTTAAATGTCGCTTTTCTAATATGCTGCTGTTCTATGTATATAGATGTCGCTCTTTCAATGTGTGGTTCTTTCGATATGTCGCTGTTTTGCTTAAATCTCTCCGTTTCAAAATGTTGCTGTTTTGATTTGTCGCTGTTTTGAATGTCGCTGTTTTGATATGTCGCTGTTTTGAATGTCGTTAAAATGAGACCGCCATTTTGAATATCGCCCTTTTGAGCCGGAAGCCCTCTTTTATACTGTCTATTATTGTCGATCCTCTATGAGACGTTTTCGAACCATTATTTTTCAACGTCTTTTTATTCTCTGCTGCTAAGCTTTTATTGAATTTTTGGACTTGTTTATCATTCCTCCGCTGGGATCTTCATTTGTACTTAGATAGACTTGTAAATACGGCTATACCGTAGTGGATTAAGTGGATCTTTAAAAAACGTCTTTTGCTCATCCATTCCGCTGTAGCAGGTTTTCTTTTGATGTTTATAATCATACCTTTCCAATCATCATCATCATCATAGGCGATCACGCGATCTCGATACATGATTATCTTTTATCTTCTATTATATCCTTATAACTGTCCATTGTATTGTACGTTTTTGATGGCTATATAAACCAATTCTGAAGCCGCACACTCTTGGCATACCCAGTCTCTGGCAGAATTGTCTCTTTGTGTTCTCTCGCTCCTTTCTGCGGTGCCTCTTTTTGGTCTCGTGTCTACGTCGCTGTTCTTCAAAAGTTCGTGGTCCGTCGTGGACTACTCGACGCCATGAAGGCCTATCATTTTCCGGCGTCTTCCAGTTGCTGCTATCGATGCGGCACTTAGCCATATTTTCCTTAGAACATCTTTGTAGCGTTTTGGTGACCTTCTTGATTTCGTTTACCCTCTTTCAGTTGACTGTTGAGGAACTGTTGTGGAAGACCTGTTCGGGCATGCGGACGAGGTAATCTGTCCAGCAAAGTTGGTGTTTAATGATGAGGGCTTCCATGCTAGTTGTTTTGGCCTCCTCCAAAACACTAATGTTTTTATTCCGTAGGATCCTTCTTAGGCATTGCTGGTGGTATTTTTCTAGGCTTTTCATGTGTCTTCTGTAGGTGGTCCATGTTTCGCAGCCATATGTAAGTGTTGATACTACCACTGCATAGTAGTAAGCGCGAAGTTTGGTCTGACTGCTGATGTTGGATTTCATGCATTCGCTGACAGATGGCTCCCAAGGTATGGGTAGTGTTCTGCGTTCTGCAAAGAATGGTGGGAATTTAGAGTTATATTTGGGGTTTGCGCATTAGTATCGGGTGCGGGTTGGTGCAGAGTCTGCGTCTTGTAAAAGGTGACCTCTAGGCCGATTCTTCTATACTTAAGTATTCCTGGTTGAATGCTTTGGTAATTGCCTGAAAATCTTTCTCTGTATTGGCCACCACGACGTTATTATCTGCATATTGAAGTTCAGTTATCGATGTCGTCGATCGTCGATACTTTCGTCTTGGCTCCAAATTGTTTAGGTTGAATAAGCCGCCAACAAGTCAGCAGGCGGAGTATCTCTGGATATACTTTTGCGGACACCCAACCTTTGCCAATATCTTTCAAAGAGGTTCTCTGTTGATCGAATCAAATGCTTTCATTTAAATCTACGAAGACCTTGCACTGAAAATCATGTTAGCTGTACCCCGGTTGGGTCTAAAGCCACATTGTGTCTCTGGGATGTTCTCTTCGGCAGTTGAGATTAAACGATTTAATAAAATCCTGGCAACAGAAAGTAAAGATATTTCTCTGTAGTTTCTACATTGAGCCTTGTCTCGTCTCCCTTTTTAAAAATGGTAACTGTGGAAGCATCTCTAAGTTCGGGAAATATATAACTTAGTGTGGGGCCTCCTTGTTTAAAGAATTCAGCAGGAATGCCGTCAGTGCCAGCTGACTTACTGTTCTTCAGTTGTCTGATTGCCTTTTTTCAACCTCTTCTAATCTAGGAACCTGGTTCAGTTCTTATTGCTTTGGACTTGATGGTCTTCGGTGTCCTAGAATAGAAGATGCCTGTGTGTGACTTTTATTATTGTGTGTATGCACAGTCAGCAGATCCACGGTCCCTGTTAAGATGAGCCCTAAGCTCGAGTTCCGACCCCAATGGCCTAGAAACTAAGACGATTGTGCCCCTCAAACTCAAAGCTGGCTGATCAAGTATTGAACTCGAATCGTGGGCGATAGGGTCGTCACATCCCTACACCAACCTTTCCAATAATAGGGTCATGATGCTATGATGTTTTTTGTAGGATTGTACCGGCTTTGAAAAATTCCCCATTAACTTTTAATAAATTCAACTTTTACTTTATGGTTGTTATTGTGGTAAGCACTTTGATGTGGTTTTTAGTTACCCTAAATGGTCAAGCCCGAACACGATAATAAATTTGGTGACAATTTTTTTTTTTTAAACAAAGCTATATTTATTTAAATTTCTTGAATTCAAAGGAACTTTTATTTAAAACCTTGACATTTAAAGATATTCATTGGTTGTTAATTTATTTCGAAAAAAAATGTTTTTAAAGGAAAAAATGAACCATTATATGGATGGCAAAGTATCAACAACAATTAGGACAAATTAATAATTATTATTCAATTTATTTAAGGCATGATTGGTCAAAGTAACAAAGCTTCAAATTTCTACGAAAGCCATTGAAAATCAAGACCAGCATAGAAAATCAATTATCGATCAAAAACCATCTATTCTTAACTTACAAGGACAAAAAATCTTAGAAAAGGTTTTACCCACTTGAAGTAAAAGTTAGATAATGCAAAAAGTTATAGTTTTTATTTAATCAAATTATGTTTTATTTTTCTCTTTGCTGCATGGCTGTTATATGCATAAAATCTGGCATTATTTGATTTCTTTTTACTGGTCAAATAAAACAAATCAAATCGGATATCCTTTGTACATATTGGAAAGTCCGAACCAAATCAGTTGCATATTTTAATTATCTTCTACTATTGTGGCTTTCTGGCCAACATAAAAAAAGTAAATTTACACAAAGTCCTTACATTAGACGTTGTAGGTAGGTACCTATAAAGTTCCTTTTCAATCCTTGAATGTTCAAATTGATCTAATATCAGATACGAACAACTATTTTGTGCTAATAGTAAAAAAAAAATAGTAAATAATTCATTATCATTCTCAAAACTCTATATGACTAAACACTAGTTTTTTTTTTTCCCAGGACCACATCATAGTAGAGTAGTCGTATGTTACCTAGGCACTTGGGCTGTGTACCGACCAGGACGTGGCTCTTTCGCCATAGAAAATCTAGAACCTTCCTTATGTACCCACGTGATCTATTCCTTTGCTGGTCTTAATATAAAAGAAGATTCTATAAAATCTTTAGGTAAGTCTTCAAGTCTTAAAGAATATGAAAAATTTACATTTTTTTTTCTTAGATCCTTGGCAAGATCTTACAGAAAACTATGGCAAAGGAGGTTACCAGAGAATCACCACCCTCAAACTCAGGTATCCTCACCTTAAAGTTTCTTTGGCTATTGGAGGTTGGAACGAAGGTTCCACAAACTACTCCAAATTAGTTTCAGATGCTTCTAGAAGGACCAAATTTGTTACCAATGCAGTAGAATTTATTAGGTAAGTTTATTTTTGTAGTATAGGAAAAATAAACATAAATTTTTTTCTGATAATAATATAGAAAATACAATTTTGATGGCTTGGATTTGGATTGGGAGTTTCCAGCTAAAAGAGGTGGCGTTCCAGAAGACAAACTAAACTTTTTATTATTAGTTAAGGTAATAAAAAACACCCTCAGTAAAAATTACTCTCAAACTTATTGAATTTTACTCTTAGGAATTGAAAGCAGCTTTCAGAAAACACAACCTCCTCCTCACAGCAGCTTTTGGGGCGGGAAAAGACACCATAGATGTAGCTTATGACGTAGAAGGTTTGGCTATTTATTTAGATTTTATTCACATGATGTGTTACGATTATCATGGCGCTTGGGATCAAAAGACAGGAGCCAATGCTCCCTTGAAAAGTAGTGACGTTTTAAATGTGGTAAGTATAAGATTTACAAAAAGTCGACAAATCAAAATTTATAATGCATTCCAATCCAAATTTTAAATTTTCAGGAATACACTCTAAACTACATGATGAAACTGGGTGCTCCTGCCAATAAATTAGTCTTAGGGGTACCACTCTACGGACGTACCTTTGTCCTTCCTGAAGCATTAAGTTCTGAATCTAAGCGGAAACCTAAATTAGGTATGGTTTCTACTAGTGTCGGGTTCCAAGGTCCTCTTACCAGAGAAAGTGGCTTTATGGGTTACAATGAAATTTGTCTGGAATTGAAAAATAAAACGGCCCCTTGGTCTAAGCACTGGGATAGTGAAAGTAGGACTCCTTTTGCCGTAAGGGGCACTCAGGTGATTAGTTATGACGATGGACAGTCGATTTATGAAAAAGTTAAATTTGCTATGGAGAAGAATTTAGCTGGAATAATGGTAAATTACGCAAATATTTTTAACTAAATACCTACAAATAAAAATATTTATTCAGGTTTGGTCTGTTGATACTGACGATTTTCAAGGCGATTGTGACGAAGAAAATGGCCAAAATTACCCCTTAATGCGAGAAATAAACAAGAGTATTGAAAAGGCACTCGAAGATATCAAGAATAGTATTATAAAGGAAAAACTTGATCAACTTGAAAATAGCGGTTTCAGAGTTGTCGGTAGTTTTGATCTCTTGTTAGTTATTGTTGGTACTTTTTTGAGTTTGAGACAATTTTTAGTAATTATTAATTTTGTTTGAATGTTCCTTTGGTTTAAATTACATTGTACCTAATGAATAAGTGTCAAAACAATTGTTAGGCTAAAAATTTAAAACATTCGTGACTATAAAATGTGGCTGTACTTATTTTGTATTATTTAGAATTTTTGATAAATAAAAACGGTTTTTTTCACGTAGGCAAATTTTCAATTTTGGCCTTTTACAACGTTGCTGAATGTATAATTATTATAAGTTTAACAACGACAAAAAAAAACACTGCTGAGATTGGCTCTGCTAGCAAATTACCTTCCACATTTTTCAAAGAAGAAAGTTCCAAGTTGACACCCTTAGTGTGCTTAGATAAATTGAATGTTAAGCCATTGTTAGTTATCAAGTACCTACCTTAGAATGTGTCGATGTCATCATTATCATAGTCACAATATCTTGCCAGACGTTGTGAACTCATAAAATGTACTAAGTCAAAACTGGAGAATTGCCGACACGCAGGTTGTCAACTGCTTTGAAAACCGCATTCCGACATCTTCGCGTTTATTTGTCAGTTCGGTCGTTCTTGTGAGACTGAGATCTAGCAATAATTGTTTTGTCGCATCCACCCAGCGTGTAGGAGAACGGCCGCGACGCCGTCCTTTTGGGGCATGAACCTGGACAACAAGTTTTTCCATATAAATATCAGTTATTACCTTTCCAATAGTCCAAGTGACATTTTGGTGGCTTTCGTGATATATGATACGCCTCATTTAAGTAAGTTTCGCCATGGCTGATCGTGCTTGTTGAATGCACCGACAGATATTTTCAACCTCGCAGCTACCTGAATTGTCGATCAAAGACCCGAGCTATACAAAACTTTGTACTACGTACCTCAACGGCCTACTGATTTTATTTCAGGATGATTGTCATGTTCCCTATCAACGATCATGACTACTAGAGTCTAGCCGTCACAGCCGGAGCAAACCCGAGAATAGCCGAACAGCGAACTCTGTGGCATAGAAAATCGAGAACAAGAATTTAATTGTTATTTCTATCGTTTCTTTAACCATTCTTATTTTTTCCAAACAAAATTACAAATCCATTTTACAAGATAATAATTATTTGTAAAAATATTACATTTTTTGTAGTTTGGATATAGGATAGTAATATAATATTCAGAAGATCCAGAAAAACTCTGCAAAAGAAATTCGATTCAATCTTAATGAACGTTAATAATGTGGAAAGTTATAGGGTGGTAGAACAGGCATTACTGCCTATAAACCCAGTATTGACCACTTTAAAACGAAAACAAAATGAACTACCTACTCCCCTTACTTACAAATGAGCGAATAAAGTTACGAATCCCTCCACAGAGAAAATTTTTTTCAACAAAAAAAAAATGCAAAAATCCGCATCTAATCTTCAACGTCCTGAAAGAGAAGAAAAAAACGCATCAATTTTGCAGACAATATTACTCTAATGATAATTCCACGGACTCGAACACGCGGATACGTAATACCTATAGAATAATTATTTAATTTTAAGGCATATGTTCAAATTACAATATTTTTTGATAATGTTCTATCAGTTTTCTTTTATTTATAATTTATATTGATTTTAAGTTTATTTTTGTTGTTTTTGCTGCAACCGAATATACACCTTCCTTCAAATTCAATGCGATAAGCTCGGCCTTCGGCTACAATCGTAGTTGCTCCACATGTGATGGCTAGACTCTAGTATCATGACTTGGTTTTATTGTAGTTGATACTGAGACCACATACCTGTTCTAAGATGTTAAGTAAGGTTAACAATTCACCCTGAGAAGAAGCGATAAGAGTAGTATCGTCGGCAAAACTTAAATTAGATATCTTGTTTCCACCAAGAGTTACACAACCGTGCCAATCGTCCAGTAAGTATCTGTCTCATCACTAATTCGGAATGGATTTCAAACCACATTGGCAATAATCTGACAAACTCTTTTTCTTGTTGCAGTCTGGTCAGACATGTAACCATCAAGCTGTATTGGACTCATAGAGCTGTTGTATGAGAAATATCAGGTGGTGGAGGAACTCCCATGGAGAAAAAAATTCCCCATAGTTCAGCCAACTTTACGTTGTCAAATGCCTTAGAGTAGTTCACAAAGCAGATATAAACTCGAAAGTAATGCTCTCTGGCCATTTCATTAATCTACCTCAAGTTCAAGATCTTTTCACGTGTACCATGTCTCTTTACGAAGCCTGGTCTGCTCTAGAAATATTTATCAGTCCATAAAACCCTCCAAATGAGACTGCAGAATATACAGCATAATTTTGCTTGAATGAGCTAGAGATGAACGAGAGTAGACGATACTTGTCTAGGTTAACCGGAGATTCCTTGTTAATTTTTATGAAGTGGAAAGAGCATCAATGCTTGTGGCTTTACCGGCTTTTAGTTTCCTAACTAGTACAGTCATACAAGGATTCATCTACTGAAAAAATCCGAGTGAGCCTAAATTTTGTCTACACCTTTATTTTACCTCAATAATTAATGTATTAAAAGTCCCCACCGATATCTTGTTTGCGTTCCAAGATATTCAAGGTCAAATATCACAGAAATGAGTTTTCCTTAAATATTTTGCTTTCAGTATATCCTACGACTATTTTGGCTAAAAATATTAAGAAATTCTCTTCAAAAAATGTTATTCATATATTTTACGTCATACCAACCGTTTCTCAGTGATACACCAGAAAAACAGAGGGTAGCACCCGTTTCCACATCACCCCAGGTGAAATGTAAGGCACGTTTTTTTTACATTGTATTTTTACTGTAGGCCTAATCGATGATCTTTCTTGTTGTGACTTTTAGATGTAAAATTTGCGATCTTTATTCTCGTAATCTGTCCCCTCTTCCACGACGTACAAATGTTAACATTAAACACAGCATCGGCTCATAATGTATTTGCTGTTAACATTTGTACCGTTCAGCTCTAGCTCCGAAATACCGCGCCCCGTACCGAAAAGAGTTGGGTAGACTGATCAGGAAAAGTCTCAGCTGTACAGACAAGTCCAGCAGGATAACCGCAATCCTTATGTCCTGGTTGAACATACGGACATAGATCAGTTATATTTTCTACCCCGCTGAGTCACGCGATTCTGAATTTGTCGCTAGAAGCTTTCGAGGACTGGTGCTGGGCTTATTTTTTCAATAGTTGTTTTATTCCTTTATCTGCGTATTAGTCCCTGGTTTTTCTTTCTCCACTGTAACAAGCTACCTGGGCTAGTGGGCCCTCAACCACTATAATCTTGAGGGTGGCACCCGAGATTACCACTGGATTAACCAAAAGATAAATACCGACTGTTAAGCTGCCACAGCTGAAGAAAAAAACCTAGGAAAACCCGTTCCAAATTTGGCACCCGAGCAGGGACCATTTTGCGCATCAGCAACTGACCGTAAAGATTACGTCATCATCCGTCCCCCGTTTCACCGAGAGGCCGTTTATTTTGGTATCGACCGATGGGTTGACCGTAACATCGTGGTATATTTCTTCATGGATTCTTCAGAAGCAACGGCGCTGCTTGGTGTTACTATTTTGATTTTAATAAGCCCAATAATGTGAAGCGTGTTGTGGCCATCTATTGTGTAGACATTGATATCTGCATTGTCTGCTGAATACCGAATAGGAGCCCAGTTTCAAATAAAAGAATATCTGGTTGTGGATGGTAGACAGCAGCAACTTCATACATTAATGTTTCTCTATACGACGCGCTGAATCCAAGAGTTGACAAAATATCTAGAAAAGGTTAGATGTGAAGGATCGTGCACGTATCGTAGCCATAATAGCATGACAAATAGCGGTACACTTACACTTATGATGGTCAGTTTTGCCTTTTTTGTTTTTCAGAATTAATTCTTCAACAAAGTATGAAAGACTCTGTGAGATGTTTTCGTTAAGATTATGAAACATTCTACTGGTAGGAGGATAAGATTGACAATCAACAGTCATGAAACGAATGTCTTCTCTGATAATTTTGGTTACAGTTTGTACATTTCGAAGGCGTTCTTTTGCCGGTTGAGATTTCTTATTTTCATACCAAGCTTTACTTAAGATATCACTTTGAGTATCGCGAAAACAAATCATGGTCGAAAAGGAATGAAGTTTTGTCGGTTACAACAACCGAAAAGCGTGGAAATTGAAAATGAAAAGAAATCTAAGGAAAATTGGAGGATTGAAAATTTTGGCCCTGGGCGGGATTCGAAGCCACGTCCTCAGCATTGCCGGTGCTAAGCTCTAACCAACTAAGCCACCATGACCCTACAGATCCTTTTGATTGGTGTTGTAAGAGGAAGTTGCGTGGTTCTCCGCTCATTGCCAAACTTCTAATTATACATTGATATTTCTTAGTTTTTTTTTGTCTCTGTTTCCTCGTTGGCTTCTTCACCACAAAAAAAAAACACAAAGTTTTTAAATCAAAAGATCCCAAGCTAGACCGTGTTTTGCGAAGAAAATACTGAGCATCGTCATCTCGTCGTCTTTCAGATGACACTATGCTAGTCCCATAGGACACCAACCCCCAATTCGAGGATTGATGCGGGTTTCCCTTCCGCAAACTGGGTTTTCCGAAAACCTTATTTCGCGCCCGAAGGATTTAATCGTTGGCTCTCTCTTTTCTTTCTTCGTGTTCGTAAGCAGCTCGCACCAACAATACTAGGGGGGCTCGTACACTGGCCGCCTAAAGCGATCCCGATAGTGAGGGGACCCACGCAAAGTATTGTCAGCCTGATACGCGATCCAAGTGCAGGGTAAGCAAGTCACCACATTTCTGTCGAGAAAAATGAGGGGACTTTTAGATGCTACTATGTATACTTCTTGCGACAGTTTTTATGTACTGTTACCGAATCTGTATCCCTTAAACGTTCTGCATGTTCATCTTCTCTTTCCAAACTTGCTTCTCTTAAAGAATCTATACCGCGGTTCGCAGTCACTGTAACACCTTACAGGAGCGATTGACTGCAAATAAAATAAGACTCATCCATCGCGATGGCTAATTAAATCACAAAACGAAACGTCTAGACTTTTTATCAAATAGATTTGAACTGACTTACATCGATTAAATGCGATTAACCGGTCGATCACAGTTGACAGATAGCCAATGAAGCAAATGTCATTTGGCAACCAATCGTTTTTAAATAACGTTCATGACTTTTGACCTTGAATATCTGAAAACGCAAGCGCGATATTGATGGGGACTTTTAAGAC